ATATATATATATCAACAGTTATATATCATCAACAGTTTTTATTAAATGTAACAAATACTCAGGAGGGCTAGCTACACATAATATCTAATTCAAGTTTTAAACTTCTGTTGCAGGTAAATGATGGCTCATGCTGAGAAATATTTGGTCATTGTCATCCTGTGTTTGGACTGTCTTAAAATGGATTATGAAATATTTTTGTTTATAACTTGTTTGGTATTTTCTAAAAAGTCTATTTTGACCAACATAATATTTTTTGGATACATGTAACCAAATTAATGTACTGTCTAAATCTAACCAAAGTACAACTTAAAAGTAATTTAAAATATGAAAATATGAAAGAATAACAATAAAAATCAGAATTTTGACATTTGGAAACACATGGAACACCAACCTCAGTCTCCTGTCTCTTGTCTCTCAGACATCCAATAAAACCTAAAATATATGTGAACCTTGCTGCTCTATAAACTACTACACCTGACTTTAAAAAAAGCTTTCTGGCAAAAGTCCCTGAAGGCAAACCTTCCCCTCTGTGATCCCCCCTCACTGTTTAAGGATCTATTGCTAATACCTTGGCCAGATGGAAACATTTGGCGGGGGTTAGATCCAGTTTGTCACCACACCTTAGACAAGAGACAAGTAAAGAAGCAACAGAAGGAAATGTTGACATTCAAGCAGGGACATTACATTTTATCTTCAGAGACAACCTAGTTTGCATGTGAGACATCTTTTCATTTTCCTTTGTTTTACTCAGGGACCTCAAGGACCACAGGGAGTCCAAGGAGAGAGAGGGCTGATAGGAGAAGGTCTGCCTGGACCAAAGGTGAGTTAGCGTTCATGCTTTTTAAGTCTGATCTTTTTTGTGTAAAAAAACAGCCAGGGAAACTCTTTTAACCCCTTTGACCCTGGTGGCATTCATACCTTTCATATCTACAAACTGACCTACACAAAGATCCATCTGGGCTCCAGATTCCAGAATGTAATGACAGGAAATTGATGATGTGTAGGATTACAAGACATGATAACTCAACACAAAAGTTCCATAAATTAACAGTGTGGTATGGCTCTCATTAACTCGTGCTGTGATCTAGTCCGTTGATTGTATCCAGCACAGGACATGAGAACATCTCCACATAAAGCAGAAGTTTCAGACATGACTCAAGAAAAAAGCCAGGGTATCATGTCAGTGACTCATAGAGAGAGTCTTTTCCTATGTCTGTGTTTTCTCAAGGCCATCAGGCACACACATTCATATATGCACACTCAGTGTCTTTCAAGCACAAGTGCACATGTGGATATATACTTTCTCTCATGTTGTTTTCGTTTTCCAAAGCAATTTCCACATGAGAGATATCTTTGACATTTTTGGGCCCAAGAAATATTTCATTCAGTATTTGAGTGTGAGAAATGTACTCCTTATACTGTGCAGAAGACATACACAGCATGTTTTTGTGATGCTTTAATGTTTCCTGTTGTTATTCTTAGTTTTGCCGTTCTTTTTCAGATTGCACAGCGTGTTTTTGTTTATGGGCTTCTGATTGGCCAACATTTCTGTATGTTTAGATTTATGCCTCCACCTGTTCTTTTGGCATGATTTTGAGTGACGTGTTTTTTTGTGTTTTCATGCAGACAGAGACATTTTTGAAATGAAAGTGGAAAATTTAAGACAATTTGAAACATCCAGCAGAGTTATTTTATTCTTTTTAGTGTTGAAAAATATTAAAATATTTATCAGACTCCGCCCTTAGATCATTTTAATTATCTCCCACAAAAGTTGTATTGATTCCCCAAGCAATTAAAAACAACATAGCTCAACATCAGTGTAATTGCAAAAATGTATTATTACTGTTGGAAGCGTTCCTTTGTAAAATGTTTGTGGTTTCTTTCAAATTACAGGTGTCAGATCTGTGCAGTTGTCACACAGCTCTGTTGTTTTGATAAATGGACACAGCTAAATTAAACGTAGTTACTGTAAAAACTTTGTGGCTTTGTTATAAGACTAACAGAGCAGTTTTGTATCACAGGAAGTGGAATTCAGGTGAATTTTTCAACTTTAGACTGCTTCAGACTACTATTTGATTTATCACTTGGCGACTTGCCTTGGTGATGGTATCAGCCAGCCCCCCCACTGCTGAAGATTGGGCTCGAGGGTGCTTTTTCCCCACTTTTTTTAATGGCGTTCTTGTTCCAAAGCCGCATTCTTCACATGACAAGCCTCGACAGGCTCCAGATTCACAGGAGCTCTGCAGCTTTTTCCACATCATTAGCACCTCAGCTTGTGAGGGATCATAGAGTTACGACAGTAAATCTTTACCTCTTGAGGCTAACATGCAAGAGCGGCATGTTAACCAGTGTACTCCTCTATGCGACATTGTTTCTGTTGTCCTTGGATGTCCTTGGAAGACGCAGAAATATTTCCTTAAGGGAAATCGGATTTTTCTGCAGTCTATAAAGTGCAGGACATTATGCAGCATTTTTTTTTTCATTTTACTGACTGTCATCCTGTATTATCTTTCTAATCCCTCAGTGAATTTCTCCTCCTGCTTTTTCTCTTTGTGTAATCGTTATATCTCCTCTAGGCACGTTTTGAAATACATGAAATACCACAATATTCCTATATAGTATATAGTACGGCTACTTCTGCTTTCCGTAGAAGAAACGGAAACTGTGTGCAAGTTTGGATCTTTCAGGCCACTTCTGGTGAGCAAGTTACACTCTTCTATCAGTAACTGACATAAATCAAACTGAACATTTATAATAACAATAAGCATTTTGTTTTTGCTAAGCCAGACATCACAAGAAGCCATGAAGCTAACTGAGAAACAGCTCGTAATGCACATTACTCCAATGGCAGCTTTTCAGTTACAAAGCCATCATTCTCTTTAAAGTCAGATTAAAAAGTTGAAATAATTCATTGTGAAGGAAAAGCAAGACATTCTGTAGTGGTTAACACTTTTGCTTTACATATAAGACATCCCCAGTCTGACACTGAGGAGACATAAATCCAGCCTTGGGTGGGTGAGTGGGAGGGGTTATAAACCAGTGTATTCTTAGTGCAGGGCCCAGGCCTGTATGTTGTGTCAGGGAGGGCATCTGGTACAGAAACTGTGCCAAATCAAGTATGTGGATCCATCTGCTGTGGTGAAACCTCGGGGAATGAGGAAGCAGCTGAAAGATGATACATTGGTTAAACTAAAACTCCTGTTTGGCTTCAAAGTCGTGTAATGTTTTACACCGTGTGAGGACTTTTGGAAAATAACATCTGTATTTTGACTAATATCATATTATTCTAACTTTTATACTTATCTTTCTGCTCTTATTTTGGCATTATTTTCATACATCTTACTAATATTTCAAGAGTCAATTTGCAGTAACTTTTTTGTCCGTCTTGGCAGGGAGAGCGAGGCTTGGAGGGGCCACGGGGACCCAGAGGACAGCTGGGTGCTGGAATCAAAGGAGACAAGGTGGAGTTTAAAGAGGCCTTAACTAAGGCGCCTGCTGAAAAGCCTTCACACAGCCATGAAGAGAAAGCCGGAGTCCTGTTGTGAAGAAGGCCATAAGTTGGCAGAGCCACGGATGAATGCATTCAGTGCAGTGTTATGTAGGAGGTCACAGTCCACAGATGATGAATCAAGGTCAAAGCATGGATAGTGTAGGAGGAGCGCAGTTTCACTGCTTGTGCTGATGAATGTGGAAAAGTTAGCCTGCAGTCAGGTACAGTCAGACATAGACATAAAGGTAAAGGTTTGTCTTTCAGGATGTGTTTGTAGAGCTTCACAGCCATCTGGCAGCATTTTAGCTCACAGACTTACAGACAAAGAAAGGCTGAGTTGATTTTTAGCTTTGTAATTCTTTCTGCTACATGAAAAATCATTTCCCCCCAAAAAAAACTTTTCGTTGTGATTTACACGGGTGTTCTCGACACCGATGTTGCTGACAGTTTTACCGTGGGCTTTGTAGTGAAGTTTATTGGAGGTAATCACAATGTTTTCATGCAGTAATGACAAACACCGCCTGCAGGGTTCTCTGCATTACCATCATATATTTGAGATGTGATTATAGCATGTGGCAGATAAAACGAAGTGAGGCAAAAGGAGCAGATGTCATCATGTGTGGCCTATATTATTAATTCATTATAATGCAGCGCTATAGAATTGTATACAGATGGGTGTTTTCCACATATAATAAATCACATTTCAGTGTGGGGTACTGTCAACCTATTAACATTTACATGTTGTTATCTGAACTTGTAGGGGGATTTTGGGCCACCGGGTCTTCCAGGGCTTGTCGGTCTCCCAGGACTAGGCATACAGGGTGAGAAGGCAAGTGTTGGACTCATAATATGATTCCCACAGTGGCTCTAATACATTATTTTTTTCATGTTTTTATAATCACAGTGGGTTTATATTGAATTTTTTTATAGTTTTTTTTTATTTATTGTTACATTTTTTTACTTGTTAATGTAAGGTAATAGTGATGAACTGACAATTATCAATAACATAATGAGGCAAATGTATTGTTTAAGTAAGATACTATATGCAATACGACAGACGTTTGTAGTTCATCAATGATTCTCAATCCAAGCGAAGCCCTTTGTTAGTGCTAAGG